AATTCATTGAAGAAAATTAAAGAAAATTGAAAAGGCAAAAAAGATAGATACAATTCATTGAAGAAAATTAAAGAAAATTGAAAAGGCAAAAAAGAATGAACTCACAACATCTAGCCAATTTTTTAAATGCAATGTTGGTGAAGAGGAAGAAGTAGACTCATATGCTAAACTAAATGTGAAAAAATAGTAGCATCACAATAAGAAAATTTGCATACCTCAGAAGCTATGTCTCTTTTTCGAACACCATCTTTCCTATTATCATTTGAAGACCAATCCAAAACTCAATCAATGCTCTCCCCCTTTGAGATACTATATGTTTGAAACCATGTCCACACATTTTATATTTGACCTCAAAAGGCAAGATAGCTAAATTAAGCCTACTTAACATTAGTACATGTTCTCATTAAAAAAAAGCTAGTATATGTTGATTCCTTTCAAATCTGAATTTACAATCACCTCCTTTTCTGAAACCTCTAACCATGAATAGCTAAGAAATAGAAATTTTGAAATAAAATGAAGAAAAATAACCTTGTCAATCCATTATATCATGTCACTTCCCATACTACATGTTTTATTGCAGTTGGCTGTCCCTATCTTCTAATTAAAAGGAGTTGTTTCTAACTATGAAAGCAAAACATTATGCATGGTTCCAAAATCATCTTGTTAACATAAATAAGTTTCATTATTTATCATTTCAAGCTTAATATCTAACAAATTAAGCTCATAATCTTAAAGCAAAATAGCTCCAGATGTTTTGCCTACACTGGCCAAATTCAATTTTACTAATATGTCGTTTCATGTCATCATTACCATAGAAGAAAAGAAATTAATGCAAAACCTCTATAATGGATTTTGATTTTCAAGATAAATTGAATAATAAAGTAAAAACATGAGTTTGAACATTCTTTGTCCCAGGAAAAGAAAGCAGTTCAAAACCAATTGAGATGGAGTTATGTTAGTATGCTATAAGTTTTAAAGTCATGAGTTGTGATTTAAGTTGAACTCTATTAAGTTTCAAATCAATCTAATTTTTTTTATCCATTTGGCATATAAACAGTGTACATACTTTGAAGAAAAAACATATAATTATATAGTTTCAACTCATCAAGATATCTATTTCCTATTTTAAATGAAAAAAATCAAATACAGATTATTACTTCATTCTGAAAATCATATGCTTTTCAATTATGAAATATAAGAAATAGTTATTATATTTTATTTTGATGATTTGAAAATCAAATGTGAATTGGAATATATTATTTATTGAATTGATTGGAAGTTGATTTACTTGTGAATATATGATTTATTCCTAGTAATATTGAATTAGTTTTCAAATATTAAGTTTTGAATGTGTTTCCTTTTTGGCAAAAGTCCATTTAATTACATGATTATATTTCCTTATTATCAAAAACAAAAAGTGCATTCTACAATTGAGGTTCCAACCCCTAGGACAGGGTTTGAAACCCTTGATAATTCTATTTTTTGAATGTTAATACAAAAAATATTCCAAATCCCAATCCTTGAAGGCAAGTTCCAACCTTCTGTGCTGGGACATTAATTTACCTACCATATATGGAATAAATTCATTCCAAAATGGAGTTCCAACGGTAAAATACATTGCTTAAGCATTCTCAAGCTATAAAACTAGATTTGGAAAAATGGAGCTTTTAAGTTGAGAAACAAAGAGTGATTGAGCTTCTATCTTGTGCCTTGAGAAATCTATTATTTTCTTATTCTCTTTCGTTGTAACAAGTGAGAGAGGGATTGAGGAAACCTTGTTAGATTTAGTAATCTATCATTGAGGTATAGGAAGGGTTGAGAGATTTGTAATAAGGGAATTGAACGATTCAATAACACCTATAAGCTATTGGGAAAGTGATTGGGTAACCTTGTTAAAACTAGAAAAAACTATCCTTATGATATAGGATTGGGTTTGTGAGAAATTGTAATAAGGGGTTGAATTGTTGAAGGTGGATAGTGTTGACAAAGCTATTGCAAATGATTGCCTTTACACCCAAAAGTTGGAGAAGAGATTCTGAATCCAAAAATAACTCTCAAGTAGGTGGCTTAAGGAGTGGACTAGACACAAATTGTGACTGAACCACTATAAACCCTTGTGTTTGAGCTTTCTCTTCCCTTAACTTTTAAATTTTGCACTTTAAATTAATTGTTTGCAATTGCTTGTGTTTATTCATTGTTTTGTTTTTTAAAGTTGCAAAAAGTTTTGAAAATCCAATTCACCCCCCTCTTGGGTTGCCGTCTGGGCCAACAACAGTAATATCCTGTTTCTTCATCCATCATTGTTTGTTCAGTCATATCTTTAGACTTAACCATATCAATAATAATTTTTGAAGTTTGCCAAATTAATACTCTTAGCCAAATTAGAGAGCAAGGATAGTTGCTCAATTAACTAACTTAATAAATTCATAAGTAGGAATCAATTGCCATTATAAGTTTCATGAAATGGATAACATTGGGTATTAAAGAAACATACCTTTGAAAGAGAAATGCCTTATACTTCACACACAAATAGTTGCCAAAATCTATGTTTACTTTATTATCTTGTTTCCTAATTTGTGTGTAAAGCATTCTAAACGTCTAGATAAGGCTCCACTTATTAAAAAATTTCGGCCATATGTAACAATTATGCATCAGGCATTATGGTCTATGATAATAGAATCAAAATCAAAATTAAAAAGAATATACTACTTAATCAAATCCCAACAACCTATGTTGAAAATCCCATATCTAACATTTCCTATGCAACTAAAAAAAAAAAAAAAGCGAATTTGGAATTTGAAAAAAGTTCTACATTTTAGGATGATAAAGGTCTTATATAATCAATTAAAGTAGAAAGATATAGAGGATTGTCAACCTTCAAGCTGGTAATTGTAACAAACTAAATAAACCTCATGAGTTTGAAGGAAATCATTAAAGGACCACAAAGGGCAGGGGGAAGGGAGGGAGAATCATTCTCACCATAACAATCAATGGAACTCCTTTGTCAGAGGTCCACAAGTCGACAACGCTTGGATGAGCACATGGTGCTTCTAGTTTAAGATGGCCATTGTCACTTTGATTTTAGGGAAATAATAATGGGAAATTAGAAAAATAAAGGAAATTGCAGAGACAATGATGAAAAGAATTGTCACATTTTTAGCATTCATTTCAACATTGATAAATCATGGAAAAGATAGGTTGAATTGCTTCTTTCTTATTCATAATTGAATTCGTATATATATAAGGTTTGTATAGTGTTCTCCAAGCCATTATGCTAAGGAAATAAGCAATACAAGGAAAGAAATAATATCTTTAGTTATAGGAAATCAATGGTAATATAGAGAATTAAATCTTTAGTTTAATGACAAGATGGAGGAGCCATCAGTGATGCCAATCTTTGACCACAATAGTAAAAATCATGTGCTGGGTAAAGGTTTAGTGAAACCATCAGCTAATTGATCCTTGGAAGAAATATGTGCCACATGAAGGATTTGTTGTTCAACTAAATCACAAACAAAATGAAGATCAATGGCAATATGTTTCATTCGTGAATGCATGACTAAGATGTTGCTCTAATAAGTGGCACCAAGATTGTCACAAAACAATGGAGGTGAAGTAGGATAAGACATACCAAGCTCAATTAAAAG